TAGCTCCTTGGGGACTCCAGGGCCACTGTCCCCGAGATGTGCGTGAGCTGTGAGGGGGGGGTCCTCCATGGGGGGTCTCTTCCCGCATCTTGTCCCACGATGTTCCGGGAGGCACTACTTGGCCTGAGACGCTTTACGGGTGGGAGGGACAGAGGGACGGTTCTCGCTGGCCTCTGATTGGGAACCCTGAAGAGATTTGAGTTGGCGACTCTTCTTGTAGGAAGTTACTGAGCTGGGCCGGACTCTCCTAGGAAACACCTGAAGTGCCAAAGCCCGGTCGCCAGGCCTCAGTAGGAGGGCAAACGGCACTCTTAAAATGCCTGCACAGGCTTAGAGGGCTCAGGCCTTGGAATTTGCTCACAGCTGATATCGGACTCGGCAGGTTAGAGGCCTCGGAGGAGGGGCGATCAGTGCTAGGGTCAGGATCCCTGTGGTCTGTGTAAGCTGAAGTACCTCACTTGCTGTGTGGCCTGCCCACGTCAGCCCTCTGAGCTGCCTAGAGTGGCCAGGCCAGTCAACTGAGCACTGGGACCTGGCCAGCCAGGCCGCGCCAAGGAAGGAGGGGTTTGGCATCCTGGCCTGCGGGGTGGGACGGGCCACCCTGCTTGGCTGGTGAGAGAAGACAGGAAGGTCTGGCAGTAGAAGAGACTGAGCACTCTGGAGTTTAAGAACTTCTGATAATGGGTGTGCTGGGAGAGGGGGTTGTGTGTTTTGTTTTATGTGGAAGAGGGCGCGCCTCTCAGGGGTCATTGTCCCCTTTTCATCATGTGAGTTCTCTGTGTGGAGTTCAGTCACAAACACCCTTACCCTGTGAGCCATCTTGCCCCATTACGTTTTCTTTCTTCTTTTTTTGGGGGGGCTGTGTTTGTTTATTTTTGGTTTTTAATTTTTTTTTTTTGAGATAAGATCTCACTGTATAGCCCAGACTGACCTAGAACTCCCTCTCCTCCTGCCTCATCTACCCAGATGCTAAATATTACAGGTATGCGCCCTAGGTCAAAGTTACTCTTCCTTGCCTCCGTGTTTATTTGGAAACTTGGCCACTAGCAGAGGTTCTGGGGTGGTGACTGTGAAGGGACATGGTGCTTTTTGTCCAGGTGAGTGTTTGTGGGGACTGAGTTAGGTCAACCCTGCTATGTGCCTAGCTAGCTAGCTAGCAGAGAAAGTGGCACCTAAGGGTTCATTTTCCTTATTGTTTTTCTGGAAAAGTCTCAGTGACTCACTACCCTTGTAATAACTTGGGAATGCTCAGACTGGCCTGTGGGCCTGCAGGGTGACCCTACCTGCCCATGTTCCAGGCCCCAGACCTCTCTTAGGGGCTGTATGCAGTGAGCAGAATATAATAGGTTCCATCAAAACAGATGTGATTGTTAGTATCCATGAGTAAGATGCCTTGTGCATTCTATGTATGTCAATGGTCAACAAACCTTTTCTACAGGGGGTAAATATATTTTCTATTGTGTTAGCTTGAATGTGATTGTATTTCACTAAGTTAGCATTTAGGAAGGCTGGCAGCGGGTCAGATTGGGTCTGGATTTTTAACTCCTGATTGTATCACACTTTCTCTTGACTATCACATGTTTCCCAGTGATGGATGTTTGAGTTGCTTCTGCCTCTTGGCTTTAATAAACACACATAAGAATATCATTATTCCTCCTAGTCCCTTTAGAGACAGACCCACAGTGGTAAAGTTGTGTGTATGGTAACTCTATCTTTAGTTTTTTGAGGAGACTTCAGGTTGTTTTCCATAGTAGCGATGTCATTTTTTTTTCAAGATGTGTTTGTTTATTTTATGAGTGTATCTATGTGTGTGCAATGCAGATCCCTTGGAACCGGAGTTACAGGAAGCCGTGAGCCACCTGATGTAGGTATCAGAGTATCGGGAACCACTGAGCTACCTCTCCAGCCCATAGCTACATCATTTTACATTCCCAGAAGCAGCACATGCCTCTTCTACTTTTCCCACACTGGTACTTACTGGCACTTCTTTGATGGGAGCCTTCCAATGGACATGAGATCTCTTCCTGCTTTTACTTGTAGTGTGGAACGTTGTATGGCTTCTGTGTAAGTGACATTCAGATGTATGTGTCATCCTAGGGTGGCTCACCTGAGTCCATCAAGTGAGGAGAGCCTATTTCTGTTTTTAAGATTTATTTTTATTTTTATTCATGTGTCTGTGTGACTGAATGCTACATGTGTGTGAATGTCTTAGAAGCCAGAGAATGTGTCAGATTCCCTGAAGCTGGAGTTACAGGCAGTTGTGAGCTAGGCACTCAATGTGGATACCGAGGTCCAAATTCCATCCCCAGGAAGACCAGTAAGTGCTTTTAACCACTAAGCCCTTGCTTCAGCCCAAAACCAATTTTTTATTATTTGTTCTGCTCCTACGAGATTTAGCTATCTCCGCTGCTCAGAAGCTACTGCCCCTGGGCCGTTCTGGCCTCTGTAAAGTGAGATGTTATCCACATTGACCCCTAGCATAATGCCTGATGGCCATACTGGCACATTAAGGGACACAGTTTGGGTTTGTCAGATTGTCCCTCAGACAAAAACTGGTGATCAGGTGGCAGAATAGCTTGGGGCTACAAAGTTTGCTGCCAAGTGTGTATGTGCCCCACACATACACAGACCAGGGCCTGACTGTGTGTGTCTCAGCAGTGGTAAGAGGTCAAATCACTAAATCACTCTTGCTTTCTCCCAGCAAGTAAGGACTGAGTCTCAAAGATGTTCATGCACAGGACACCTTACTGTGTGCATGGCCCAGCTTTAAGAATTGTTGGTAGAGCCATAAGCAAGAAAAAGGGTTCTATTCTGCTGGAGCTAAGCATTGAGTGGAGGCAATAGAAGGTTGCATGCAGTAACTAGACAGGGAAATACCAGGGTTGTGTGTGTGTGTGTGTGTGTGTGTGTAGGCGTAGGCCGAAGATTGATGTCTGGTGGCTTCTTTGATTGCTGTCCACCTTGTTGTTTTTTTTTTTTTTTTTTTTTTTTTTTTAAGGGGGGGTTGTTCTGAGTCAGGATTTCTCTGTGTAGCTTTGGTAAGGGTCCTCTTATCTCTACCTCCCCAGAAGTAGAATCAGAATCATAGACACACCACACCTAGGGCTTGTGTATGTGTGTGTGTGGGGGGGGGGTTGGTTTGGTTTGGTTTGGGTGTTTTGTTTTGTTTTGTTTTGAGAGAGGGTTTCTCTGTATTGCCTTGGAGCCTGTCCTAGACCAGACTGGATTCGAACTCACAGAGATTGATGCCTGTCTCTGCCTCCCAAGTGCTGGGATTAAAGGCATGTACCACCAATGTCCAGCCTCACCTAGGGTTTTACCTGGGACCACAAGATCTATTTGGGTCCTTATGCTGGTAGACAAGCTCTCTACCAAATGAGCAATCCCCCCCAGACCCATGACTAGGTCTTAATAAAGTATTATGAAGGGAAAACAAAACAGGATGGTATCTTACAGAAAGGGTTAGTAAACTTTTCCACAGTGGTCCAGATTGTCAATATTTCAGGGTTTATGGCTGTATGATTTCTGTCAGACTTAACTCCATCATATACTGTATACATGAATTCGCAAGGCCGTGTTACAATAAAACTTTATTTATAAAAATGGCTCTGGGCCAAATTTGACCTCTAGCCAGTTTGCTGTGCCTGGGAGAAGGTTCCTCAGATGAGGAACCAAAAAAAAATCTAAGCTGGTCACAGACCAGGGCCAACATGGGATGGCCTGTTCCCAGTGAAACAAGATGATACCTTGCTGTTGTGGAGTCCCATGCTGAGAAGTCTGTTGTGTATGAAAGAGAAGGTTCAGCCGGGCAATAGTGGTGTACACCTGTAATCCCAGCACTGAGGAGGCAGAGACAGGAGGATCTCTGTGAGTTCAAGGCCAGCCTGCTCTACTGAGCAAGTTTCAGGACAGCTGGGACTGTTACACAGAGAAACCCTGTCTTGAAAAGCAGGGAGGGGGGGGGGGGGGACAAAAAACAGGAAGAGAAAAAGAAAGAGAAAGCTCGAGGATGAAGGCTAGGAGCTTGAGCCACTAAGTGAATGGTGCTTCTGATGATGGAGACAAGGTAAGAAGGCCCAGGAAACATTGAGGTCAGTGTTGAGTATCAGAAGCTAATTTGATGACTGGGTAGGTGAGTGGCTATCCATACCTAGAGCTTAGTGGAGAGGCCAGTCCTGGATGCGTGGACCAGGATGTAGCCACTTCTGTGAATCCTTCAGTTCCGCTGGATGTAGAAGGGTGAGTGTGGACGGTAGGAGGTAGTTAGGGTATGATGTAAAGCTACCAATGTTTACTGCCTAGTACATGAGCAGAGAACCCAAGTGGACCTTACATTTCACAGAGGAGGTCCTGTGTGAGCTCCCTCCAACTAACCATTAGAGTCTGCTCCACCCATGTAAGATAGAGGCAGAGGGTTTTCTAACTTGCTAGGGACTGTGTAAGGACTAAATGAGATGAAGCTGCCCTTGGCTTAGTGGTAGTACTCAGTGCATGGCCTCTGAGATGCAACGGTGACCTCCAGCCACCCCAGAACCATCGGCTACCTTGGGAAAATGAGGGATCCCAGAGTCTATTTTTGGTTTGGATCCCAGATGCTCATAGTGTTCAACACACAATGTTCAGTGTGTGCACCCCCATTCTAACCACAGACTGTCCAGAATAGCTGATGGGAGTTGGAGACTCTCTATTCCGGCTTCCTTGGTCCTAATGCATGCCGGAGGTGTGCTCTACTTCCAAGGCTCGCTCTTCTTGCAGTTAACTGTTCATGGCTGTCTTCCCGCCACCATCTGCCTTCCACATGCATCCTGATGGAGAGTCTCCTTCACCCACCCCAGCCCCCAATTATTTCTCCCTCTCCTTGTGTCAGGTTGGCCTCAGGAGCACTCAGTTTCTGTGCCTCTCCGGGAGGCTGGGTAGGCTTGTGAGGTACAGTGGGATAATAGGCTTGTCTGCGTTGGTGGGTGAGTGAGGGGGGGGGGGTGAGCAGTGTGGTTCCAACCTCACAGGCAAGCTGATAGCCTCCCTGTCTGCCTCCTACAGCCTAGACACTGAGAAGATGGTGGACCACTTAGCAAACACAGAGATCAACAGCCAGCGGATCGCAGCGGTGGAGAGCTGTTTTGGGGCATCAGGACAGCCACTGGCCCTACCTGGCCGGGTGCTGCTGGGCGAGGGGGTGCTGACCAAGGAGTGCCGTAAGAAGGCCAAGCCACGCATCTTCTTCCTCTTCAACGACATCCTGGTGTATGGCAGTATTGTGCTTAGCAAGCGCAAGTACCGGAGCCAACATATTATTCCTCTGGAAGAAGTAACGTTGGAGCCACTGCCAGAGACCCTGGAGGCTAAGAACCGCTGGATGATCAAGACAGCCAAGAAGTCCTTTGTGGTGTCAGCAGCCTCCACCACGGAGCGCCAAGAGTGGATCAGCCACATTGAAGAGTGTGTGCGGAGGCAGCTGCTGGCCACGGGCCGCCAGCCCACGACCGAGCACGCAGCACCCTGGATCCCTGACAAGGCCACAGACATCTGTATGCGGTGCACACAGACGCGCTTCTCGGCACTCACCCGGCGCCACCACTGCCGCAAATGTGGCTTTGTGGTCTGCGCTGAGTGTTCCAGGGAGCGTTTCCTGTTGCCACGTCTCTCCTCCAAGCCCCTTCGCGTCTGCAGCCTTTGCTACCGAGAGCTGTCCACCCAGAAGCAGAGGGAGGAGGCCAAGGAGAGGTGCAGGGGCTCTCCAGGGCAGTCTGCCTACCTAGGCGGCACTGTCAGCGGAGCATCCAGTGGCGATGAGGATGACTCTGATGAGGACAGAGAAGGCGACTGGCCCAGCCAGGTGGAATTCTACACTTCTGGCGTCTCCTGGTCAGCCTTCCACAGTTGACCCTCACCTGCAGGGTGTCTGCACCAAGCCAGTCCCTGATTTTGCTGGGACCCCTGCCCATGCCCCTGGACATGTGACAGGTGACTGTTCCAGAGCCATTACTAGTGCCTTTCTGCTAGACAGCAGCCTCCTAGGCCCTCTTCTACTTGTGGTCAGATAATTGCCTTTCCATTTCACAAGGCACAGAACCAGGCTACAGCCACAGCCCTTGGGATTAGACAAGGCCAGGTGCCCCAAGCATTAAAAGACCAGGGTTGAAGAGGGCAAAGGGAAGACCAGACCTGAGTGGGGGTCCGCTCTACTCTGAAGCTTGACAAGCATAACATATACCCAAGCAGGAGGCCTGTATACCCACCACCATGCAGATGTCACCATCTGACCGCCGGACCCTGCCAAGCTGGATCCCAGACACACTGTGTGCCCTTCAGGCCCAGATGAGCTGCAACCTGAATTCCCTCAGCCCAGGACAACCCATCAGGGTATCTGCCCTGTCAGCCGCCGCCAAGTGTCTGGTGCCTGCTTGTCCGGTCCCCATCTCTATCTGCGGTCAGTAGAAGTAGTGTTTTCCCATAGGACTCTGGGTTTCAAGGACAGAAACCCTATCCAGACTGACTTACCAATAAAAAACAAAAAAGGCAAAAAGCAGCTCTTTTGGTTGTTAAGTCTAAAAAGAGTACCCTAGCTTCAGACACTGCTCAACCAAGGGTAGATACCATGGCTAGGGACAACTGTCACTGACACTGCCACACTGGGCATTCCTGGAAAGGCCTCCCACCCAATGAGACATTCATGCCACATTGTTCTGCAAGAACAAAGCCACATTCTGTTCTATGATAGCCAGCCTGCTTGCCTCCCTTGCTTTTCCTTTGAGACAGGGACTTGTTACACAGGACTGATAGAAACCTGACCTCCTCTGGCCCCGGCCTCCCAGGCATGGACCTGGCTTATGGATGTGGGCCATTTAAGTGGGTGCTAAAGGAAGCCAGGCTATTGTCTCACACAGCCTGATCCTTCCAGGGTGAAAGGCCCTTCTGTGTAATCCTCTGCACGACCCCTGCAGATGGTGCCTGGGAGTCAGGGAGCAAGCCACTAGCCTTGCATGTAGAATAGAGAGCTTCCAGGCCCTTCAGAAGCCTTCTTTAAAGCTGTTTGTGGCGGTTCATGCCTGTAATCCCAGGAGTTAAAGAGGAAGGATCAGGAGTGAAGCCAGCCCTAGCTACATAAAACCCCTGCCTTGAGAAGCCATGCTCTCTACAGGTATTTATGAACCTGTCTTTTCCCAGGACCTGGCTGCCCTTGAATGGAGTCCTCTTTTAGGGTGGGGTCACTATTAACTACATGAGACTTTGGAGTCAAGAAAGCTCTCCAACTCTAGTATAGTGGCGCCCTATTTTAGGGGCTCTCCATCCCCCCGATACGGTGTTGTCTTCCATGTCCATGCTGTGATTCTGTAGGTCAGCTCCAGATCCCAAAGTCTGCAGTTGACAGACATGTGGCCACCCTTCCAAGAGTGCTGGACGGGTAGAATATGGAGCTGCCTGTGACCCTTCCCGCACTGGTAGTGACAGGCTGGGAGGACTGGGGAATGTGTTTGTTTGCGGCCCTTTCACTTTATGACCTCCGTCAGCCACACAGACTGGTTCAGGCTGCTTCTGTTTGGGCACAGGGTCAGGCAGGTTCACGGGTGAGGGGCAGCTTCCTGATCTGGTGTGTTCTCAGAAGTTCAGGCCATCATCCCTTCCTCCCATGGCTGGTGACTGACAAACCTCATTCCCTTGGAACCTTCCTTTCCTGGAAACCTGTAGGGTGTAAAAGGCAAGCAGTTCCTGTGGACAGACGGAACTGCCTGTGGCTGAACCTGGGTGTAGCAGCTGTCCTGAGCCACCTGACAAAATGGACATGGTGGCAGGAGTCTGGGTGGTTAGGGCAAGCTGTGGAGGGTCATTTGGCACTGTGGGAAGTAGAGACGAGCTGGCTCAGATCAATTCCCTCTCCCACAGACCTAGGACAAGGATGTTACTTCCCTAAGCCCCAAGATGCTGGAGACCACAAGGAGCCAAGGTGGTCAGCAACCTTGGGAAGGTGTTCATTTATGCAAAGCTACTGAGACTTGCTGTGTTCCCTGCCAGATGCTAGGGACACTGCTGTGAATAAGATGGGTTTGGCTCTCGGGTGAGAGGGGAGACTGAGGGTTGGTACTAGGTGCATGGAGGCACCCCTGGGTTAAGGGTGAGCCACCCCAGTGGAGAAACAGCACTCCAGGCACTGGCAATGACTGGTGTCAAGGCCCTGAAGAGGAAAGGGTTTTGTGTCCTGAAGAAACACTATGAGGTCAAGGCCAAAGGACAGCAGACAGCCCCTGGCCAGAGGCTTCTAGAGCAGCAGTCTGTTCTCTGCTCTGATGGCTTTGTTCTGCCTGATCAGCAGATGGCTGGAACATGGGGAGGTAAGCAAGCCTGGCGGCTGTGTGGCCAGAGGCCAGCCTGGATTCCCAAGGGAGTCCATCAAAAGTCCGTCCTTTGTGGGAAGCTTCCATGCCCTCCCTTCTGTCCCTGACTCTAGAGTTCTACTGAGATACAAAATGACTTTTGGGACTCTTGTATGAGACCGAGTGACACCCAGTCTACACACACACACACACACACACACACACACACACACACACACACACACTCTGCAGGAATGAAGTCCTTGAAATAAAATGGTGAGTGAGCCTGTGTGCAAGAGGAAACCTGTGCCCTAGTGTGATGGTGCTGGCACTACAGAAGTCATTGTGCAGGCTTTTCTCAGCAAACAGAGCTGGGATGGACCCTGTTCTTTCTGGGTAGCCCGCATACATTTGGGTGCTATAATTATCCTAGCAATATCCACAGCAGCCAATATGGAACTAGCCTAGGTGTCCATCGGCACACGAACAGATAAAGAAAATGTAACTTACACTGCAGATGTATTCAGACACCAAGGAGAAGGAAATTGTGTCATTTGTAGAGAAATGGAAGGAACTAGAGATTGCAGTGTTAAACCAAACAAGCCAGACTCAATGATAGCATTTTTTTTTCCTCATAAGCGAAGTCTAATTAAAAAAATGTGAAAGTAGAAGGGTACTGTTTAGGAAGAGAAAGGGACCAGCGAGGGAGCAAGAGGAATGGGGTGAATATGATCAAAGTACTTGATACATATGTGTAAATGTAACAACAGCAAAAAAAAAAAAAGTCTAGAATGTATGGCCATTTTTGGCAATGCCTTTAATCCCAGTACTCAGGAGGCAGAGACAGGTGGCTCTCTGTGAGTTCGAGACCAGCCTGGTCTACAGAGTGGCTGCCAGGACAGGCTCCAAAGCTACAAAGAGAAACCCTGTCTCAGGAGGGAATAAAAGCATGTGGCCATAGAGTGGAGCCAGGGAAGGGAACCAACTGTGGAAGGCTGTCCTCAGTCCCTTGCTGAGGAAGCATGGTGGGCCAGGCTGGGATCGAGGCTTGCAGTCATGCTATCAGACTATTCTCAGAGAGGGGCCTACCTGCAGAGCAGGTACAGCCCCCTGCTGTTGCCCAGCCACTCGGATATTCACCCTTCTCAGTCAGGACTTCCAGCTAAGGTGCTAAGTCAAGGCTACACTGCTGACCTTTGCCACTAGCCACCACCCCACCCAAGGATTCAAGTCTCAGCGTGGACTTCAGTACCTCAGCTCTTTGCAGATGTCTTATTTACCCGGTACTGAGCCGAAGGCCAACAGGATCTGAGCGCTATGTCTGATGGGTTGGGGCCAGGCTTCACACTCTTGCCTGTGGCTCTGTTCACAAGGCCTGGCAAGAACTCAGGAACCCACTGTCCTGCCAGCTGAGTCTCGGAATGTGTCCTCCCAGCTGTATGAGTACTGGCCCTGCCAGGAGCATGTGATCCTCTGGCAGCTTTGGGTCCTGAGGAAGGGGTCTGCCTTGCCTGCGCAGGAAATAGAGAAAGACAAGGGAGCTCTGAGGCCAGGGCCCTGCATTAACAGCATGGAAACTTGCGTCTTGGCATTGCCTGAGCCTGATGGAGTGTTGGGGCAGGAGGTAAGGTTGCAGCTGTGACCCAGTGCATCAGGGACAGACTGCTCTTGCAGTTCAGTGGGGTGCAATCTTCACACAGGATTCAGGTACCAGGAGAGGTCAGGGATCCTAGCCTGTGCATCTCCATGGGACTTCCAGGTGCCACGTTTTCTCAAAGGAGAGAGCCACTTACATATAACTAGTCAAAGCCAAGTGTGGTCTGCCAAGGTGGGGAGGAAGACAGGGGATCTTGGGACTCCAGGAATGTCATCCCTGTGATGATGAGGGTGAGTGCTGGTGCCCACTTACTGAAGTCCATTTGTGCTCAATGCAGAGACAAAGGCAGGGCACACAAAGCCTTCTTGAGGCTCAAAGAGGTTGGGCCTAGGAGTGCTTCTTAGAAAAGGTAACATTTGTTGGCACCTCAGAGTGAGGCTTCATCTTATTTTTGTTAAATTTTCTTTTTTAATAATAATAATAATAATGTGGTCAGGCATAGTGGCCACATACATACCTTTTTGGTGGGTTTTTGTGATTGGTTGGTTGGTGGGTTGTGTGTGTGTGTGTGTGTGTGTGTTGTTGTTGTTGTTGTTGTTGTTGTTTGGTTTTTTGAGACAGGGTTTCTCTGTGGCTTTAAAAGCTGTCCTGGAACTAGCTCAGGACAAGGCTGGCCTTGAACTCACTGAGATCCACTATACCTTTAACCCCAGTACCTGAGAAGCAAAGGCAGGTGGATCTCTGAGTTCAAGGCTAGCAAAGGCAGGTGGATCTCTGAGTTCAAGGCTAGCCTGGTCTATAGTGCAAGTTCCAAGACAGCCAGGGCTACTCAGAGAAACCCTATGCATTGGCTAGTTATATGTCAACTTAAAATAAGCTAGAGTCATCAGAGAGGAAGGAATCTCAGCTGAGGAAATGCCTCTTTGAGACCCAGGTGTAAGGCATTTTCTCAATTAGTGATCAATGGGGGAGGGCCCAGCCCATGGTGGGTGGTACCATCCCTGGATTGGTGGTCCTGGATTCTAGAAGGTGGGTTTAGCAAGCCTTGGGAAACAAGCCAGTAAGCAGCACCACCCCCCATGGCCTCTGCATCAGCTCCTGTCTCTGGGATTTTGCCCTGTTTGAGTTCCTGTCCTGATTTCCTTCAGTGATGAACAGCAAAGTTGAAGTATAAGCTAAATAAACCCCTTCTTTCCTAACTTGCTTTTCGGTCATGGTGTTTTGTTGCAGCCATGGAAATCCTAACTAAGACAACCCTTACATTTATTTGTGTAGGAGTGAGTAGCATGTGCCATGTGGAGGTCAGAGGACAACTTGTGGGAGTCAGTTCTCTCTCTGCTATGTAGATAGACATCAGCAGACTTTCATGAGACTTCTATAGACAATGATTTTCCATATGATTCCAAAAGCAACAATAGACAGGAGGGCTATAGTCAACTGAAAAGAGTCAAAAGAGTGGACAGACGGACAGCAGAAAGAAAACAAAAGGGTTTTGTGAGACAGGATCTCACTTTAGCCTGGGCTGACTTGAAACTTGCTATGTAGACCGGGCTGCCATTGAACTCACAGAGGCCCACCTGCCTTTGCCCCCTGAGTCACCGGGTAGTGGAGCCTGTA